ATACTAACATAATTAGCTTTTTATTCAAAATAAGTGATAACAAAGTGTCTAGATTGTCAAATCTCTATATATTAGAACTGGAAGGTCATTTGGTAATCAAATATTCTGTATGAAAGCCTTCTATTGATCACTATATATTCTTGGAGAACTGATTCTTTCAACATTACTTAATGCCTCTTGCTATCTTAGTAAATTGTCTTTGTTCTGAAGTCAGCTTATCTGATTAATGTTAGCATGGTATATATTCTCATTCCTTTACCTTTAATTTGTCTGTGTCTATATTAAAAGTAGTTTTCCAGCAAACTATATATATATATATGGATCTTGTTTTTTTTTTAATCCTGTCTGAAGTTTACTGTTTTGTTTGTTTGTTTTTGCACCAAAGATTGAACCCAGGGGTGCTTTACCACTGAGCCACACCCCCAGCCATTTTTAATATTTTATTTAGAGATAGGGTCTCACTGAGTTGCTTAGGGTCTCACTAACTTGCAGAGGCTGGCTTTCAACTCGTGATCCTCCTGCCTCAGCCTCCTGAGCCTCTGGGATTACAGGAATGTGACACTGTGTCCAGCAATATGTCTATTTTTTAACTGATGTATTTAAACTATAGATACTTAAAGTGATTTTTGTTATAACTGGATTAATACCTAAATGTGTGGTATTGATTTCTTTTTTTAAAAAAATTGTTCTTTATAGTTATACATGACAGGAGAGTCTATTATGGTATATTTTTACAAACATTAATTATATCTTATTCTAATTAGGATCCCAGTCTTGGTCATGTATATTTGTTGAGATTCATTGTGGTGTATTCATATATGTACATAGGAAAGTTATGTCAAATTCTTTCTTTCCTTCCCATCTTTCCTTTTCTTCTTCCCTCCTTCCTTCCCTCTCTTACCCTCCTCTGTTTTTTGGATTTTTTAAATAATTTTTTTTCTCTCTTAAACTATCAATTATACTTCATTTTATACTATATAAGTGTTGGTTTCTGTAGAGTTCACAATGTACTTTTACAGCAAATGCAAGTTCATTTTCAAAAACCATGATTTGATTTCACATGAAGTGCAATTACCTTATAATAAAACTCATTCATAAACAAATGACTTTCCAATACATTGCTCATATTCTTATTTTCAAACAAAAACTGCTATGTGCTAGATCATCGAGCTTTGTAATGTTTTGAACAACCAATAAAAAAATTTTGAAAAAAAAGAAAAGTGAAAATGTTTATTTTTATTTATTTATTTATCCTTTCTTTATATGGATATGAGTTTCTGATCAACATTCTTTTCTCTAAGAAACTTTCACCATTTTTTAAAATAAGGAAATTCAACTTACAATAAGTTTTCTTATTTTTTTCATCTGAGTCTTTATTTTCTATTGCTGACATGGTTTTTGAAGAGAAATCTTATGCAATTTTCCTTCTTTACAGTGTCTTCATTAGGATTTAATATCAAAGTAAAACTGGCTTCACAAATTAGTTGTGAAATGTTGTTTTCCTTTGGTCTCTGAAATGCCTAATTTAGAATTAGTTCTTCAACAAATATTTGAGAAATTACCAGTAAAACTATTTGGGACTGGAATATGTGGGAGGGTTTAAGAGTTTTGAATTATAGTTCTTTAATAAACTCACATGAATTTTATCATTTGGCCTTATGTTAGCTTTGGTATATTTTGATTTTCTAAAAATTTGTTCATTTTTTCCAAATTATCAAACTTACTGACATGAGTTTATAATATATGACTGAAATAATTAATAATTATTAATGAATATTAGTCATCGAAATTAATGGATTTCACTGTGACTTTCCATACATGTATATATCATGTTTTTGTCATATCCACCATCCCTTCTACCCTCTCTTGTCCTCTTTATTTCCCCACTTCACCTGGTCCACCTTATAGTCCCTTCTATTTCCAGGTTGTTTTATTTTTAATTTCAAAAAAATAAAAAAGGAAGGAAGGAAGAAAAAGAAAACATGTGATACTTGTATTTCTGCTCCTGGCTTTTTTCACTAAACATGATGTGCTCCAATTCCATTCATTTTTCTATAAATGATGATATCCTTCTTAATGACTGAACAATATTAGGGCTGGAGTTGTGGCTCAGTGGTAGAGCATTCACCTGGCACAAGTGAGGCACTGGGTTTGATCCTCAGCACCACATAAAAACAAATAATTAAATGAATAATATGCTACTATGCATGTAGATTTTTTAATTGCAGTTTCAATCTTGTTATTGACTTATATACTTTTTATTTTTAAGATCTGCTTGGTTCAATTTTTGTAGGTCATTTGTATTGAGAATTTGCCTATTTTTTCTATATATTCTAATATTGGCATATGATTTTACAAAATATTGCCTAATGGCCCCCTGGATTTAGTGGTAACTTTTTAAATATTCCTATTTTTTTCTACACTTTTATTAATTTGGATCTTCTCTTTCTTTTGGTTTGTTTAGCTAAGTTTTGTCAATTTTGCTATCTTTTCAAAGAACCAATTCTTAATTCTGGTGATCCTTTGTATTGTTCTTCTCTATTTATTTGTACTCAAATCTTTATCTTTTTCTCCTACTAATGATTTTGGATTTGATTTGTTATTGTTTTTCTAAGACCTTGAGATACATCATTAGGTCATTTATTTGAGAGCTCCTTTTAAAAAATGTAGACACATATAGCTATAAACTTCCTTTTGAGTGTCACTTTTGCTGTACTCTATGGAGTTTTGTAAGTTGTGTTTCTATTGTTTTAATTGATTCTTTTTAGTTATATATGACTATACACACACACAATACTATGACATAATTATAAAACCATGAAATATAATTTGTTCTAATTCAGTCCCCAGTCTTTCCCTTACCCTCCTTCTCCTACTCACTGTTCCTTTACTTTTGTGG